GGCAGTGAGCCACATCTATTCAAATGTAAACGTCCGATTCGGGTTGTTAGGCATTCGAATGAATCAATGCTCTTGGCCAAGTTTGTGTTGACAAGGACACCAACGCCTCCAACACCTCTTTTATCACATGTTCCGAGGAACAATTCTTCTCCAGTGTCAAAAACGGCATGGTGAGATTCGTGCCTTCTTGTCTCGGTCAGACCAATGATGTCGTACTTGATCATTCGCGCTTGTACCATCAGGTCCTCGATGGATGCATCTGATGCTAGCGTATGTGCATTGAAAGTACAGACGATCATTTTTGTCTTCCTTCGTTGTGGCAGCCTAGGTCGGCCTTGAGATTTTGTCAGCCTCTCCTTTCTTCTCCTTCTCAGTGCTGCCATGTCGGTGAAGCCTTCAGGGTCAGGTGAATGAGACCAGTTGTAGTTACTGGTTTTGGCATATCGAATACACAACGGATAGCTTGCCAGGCTCTTCCGTGCGGGCGGAATACTCTTGGTAGCTTGCCAGTCTTTCCGAGAGAGATAGAGGCTTTTGGGGCGACCTCTAATCCCCCTTGTAGGTGTTACCATATTTGAACCCTATCAAATACGGTACGACAATTCCGGAAGATGGGTATTTAGTGTCTTATGATGTGTCGCGCGGCCGCTTTGCGGCTGCGCGGGTCCGGAAAGCGTCCTGGAGTGTGGCGACGGCTGGGTAGTGGAAGTAGTGTCGAGAGTGGAAGTCTGCCAGTGGGGTATTTATCTGGGTAGGGTGGGTCTCCTGTGCGCAATTCGATATCTGGGTGGTTGATGGAAGCAGACAGGGCAGGGTAGGGTGGGGCTCCTGATTAGAATCCCTTTGTCACCTGTGGTGGTGGGAGCAAGCAGAGAAGCTCTGTCCCTGGGTACGCCGAGCCTGGAGTCCAAGGTTTCAATTATACAATGATCAAATACCCATCCCTCCACCAGTGCCCATTTCCCACCACCACAGATCCCAGTATCCCTCCCATCCCCCATCCCCCCCATCCTACCCTGCCTCTGTGGCGGGGCATTCCCTTTTGTTCTCTCTCTCTCTCTTATTGGGTGTTGTGGTTTGCAAAAGAGGCATTGAGTGGCAATCATGTTTGGTCCACAGTCTACTTTCAGCATGCTTCTCCCATCCTTGGAGGATCCTCCCAACACCCTTTATTTGGTGTTCCCTTCTCTATCTGAGCTCCCTTTCCCCCTAGCATGTGTGGCTGGCCTCCAAGTCATGGAGCAAAATTCCTGGTACTAATCTCGGCCACTCTTGGGTGTTAGTCTTCTATTTTGTTACTTTATGTTCCCCAGATGAATACAATCTTTCTATATCTACCCCTTTCTTTCTGAGTCATTTCACTTAACATGATACTTTCCATGTAGTACCACTTGTATGTAAATTTCATGACTTCGTCTTTTCTAACAGCTACATAGTACTCCATTGTGTAAATGTACCAAAGTTTCTTTAACTAGTCATCTGTTCTAGAGGCTGCCCCTCTTGTGTCCTTGTTCCTGTCCACTCCCGGGATCCTCACTCACTCGGGACACAGCGACTCTCATTCCTTGCATTTCCCACATGAGGGCGTTTGGGGCCAGGCGACATCTGTGCCCTGATTATGCTCCCCGCAGAGTTGGGCAGTGACCGACAGAGCCAGTCCTGCTGGGGGTGGGGAATGAGGACCCTCCCCGCCCCGAAAACGGAATCGTGGGGTCAAGAAGTGGCTGTGGGTCCTGTGAGGGAGACAGCAAGACATGTTGGCACTGCCCGGGGCCTGGGAGTCTCTCCGCGCCTGCTCCTGCCTGGGAGCCCACGACCCTGCCTGCTCCACTGGCCTGCAGGACCCCATCCTCACCTGGCTGCACTCACTCCCGGGACATGCTGCTGCCCTGGCAACCAGGCCTGTCTTGAACTCTGTTCCAGGCATCGGCGCTGGACCACCAGACCCGCTGTGGTCAATCCCACTGCAGGGGTGGCTGAGTGTAGTGGCCGGGTGCAGTGGCTGAGTGCAGTGGCCAGGTGCAGTGGCCACGGGAATCCCACTGCAGGGCCTGGTTCCTGGGACACTCAGCAGGAACGCCGAGAACAGCAAGGCATGCCATTCCGTGAGTGACAGGGACACAGGGTGGGTGGTGCTGACAGGGACACAGGGTGGGTGGTGCTGACCCGCCCCCCCCCCCTTGCTCCACCCTTTCACCTGCGACACAGATCAGCAAGGGTCAGTCCCTCCAGACCAGGGGAATGTCTGGTTGGGGTCAAGGACAGGACAGCCACACCTGCAGCCAAGTCCCTGTGGAAGCCCCCAGGCTCCCTCAGCCCCATGTAGCAGGGACTGAAGAGGGACTGGAAAAGGGTGAGCAATGGAGCAGAGTCCCAGAGCGGGTGAGCGGCTGGGATTCAGACCCCCGAGAAGGGGGCTGTGCCTTCTGTTCCCTGAGCCTCCTCCTCCTCCTACCCGGGAGCACAGACTGATGGCACTAGGAGGCAGGGGCCACCCAAAGCTAAGACTAGAGTGCCACCTACTGGACAAGCAGAAAGGCCTTTAGTCCTCCACGGCTGAATTAGCATCAAGAGGAATCTCTCTCTCTCTCTCTCTGTGTCTCTGTCTCTGTCTCTGTCTCTGTCTCTGTCTCTCTCTCTCTCTCTCTCTCTCTGACACACACACATACACACACACCATCCCCCCACTACCACAGAAGGTGTCGTTTGTGTCAAAGGCACTTTGACACATATGCACTATTTCAAGCAGTTGGAGACTTCTAGATAACATGGCATCAGAAAGAAGGACATTTCTCCAGAAACTAAGCAGTTTGTGATGTGGTAGATGGAAAATGAAAAATTCCTATCACTTAGAACCTCAAGGGATGACAGAAAACTCAGAAAAACAAGCCAATACACTCAGGAGTAAAATGAAGGGTCGCCTTATTAAATATATTGAAACTGTGAAAAGGAAGTTGGTGTAATTCTAGAGTGAAGAACTCAGTAAGTGTGATGAAGAGTTCAAGAGAAAGCAACGGGAACAGACAGGTCACAGGGAAGAATGATGAGTGAGCTTGAAGACACTAGTGAGAAATGATTCAGGTGGAAGAAGAGAGTGAAAGAGAAAAAGAGAAAGAAGGAGAGAAGGAGAGAAGGAAAGGAGTAACATCTGAGGAATCTCCAGACAGGGAAGGAATCGAGTACTCAAGTCCATGAAGCGATCCGAACACTGAGATCAAAGATATTGATACCAGCAGTACAATAGCAGCACCATCTAAATCAGTAATACAAAAAGAGTATCAAAAAAAAAACCCCAAACAAACAAACAAACAAAAAGAGTATCACTGGTAGCAAGGGGGCGTGGGGGACCCCAAAACCTCATGTTAGGCTGTGTCGGACCCCACATGCCAGAAGTGGGCAGCAGGGCAGGTTCAATACACTCACTATATATATATGCAGATTCAATACATTTAATCTGTGATAAACTTGCCGAGGATGCCCTATCTGGGAAGCCCCGTCAGACACGCGTGCCAAGGCAGACTGTTTGAAGCCATGCCCTGCCACTGGCTCATCCTTCAAAGAGTGTCACCAGAACAAGCCTGCCATGAAAGCCGAACTGCCCCGAATCAGGTGAGAGAGAGAAGCAGGAAAGCTTGAGCCCATTTCAGAACAGGGTGTGGGGCATGGAACCGCAGCAGAAAGCCGCGAGGTAAACCAGTAAGAATGGCATATTTCCCGAACCAGCATTTCCCAAAGTTGAGCACCAGAAACCACAGGCAAGTCCCCGGACAGTGGGGGAATGGCCGTGGGAGACTTGCCTCTGGGAAACTACGAACTCAGGGCCCAAGAGAGGGTACAGCAGGGGCAGGGGGCACTTCCCTGTATGTACCCGAGCTGGGCTTGACCCCGGCCACCACATAAGGTCCCTGAGCACTGGAAGGAGTAATCCCAAAGCATGCCAGGAGTGAGCACACGACCCCCCAACCAGACCAAAGTGACTGAAACCTTCTTTTTGCCAAAGCTGCGTGAGCCTGGAGGGGGTCCTTCAAGTAAGATAAGTCAGTAAAGGATGGACATGTCACACCTTAGCATCTGTGGTCAGTATGGGTGTGTAGACACCTCATGTTTTCTCCCTCTTCTTCCTTTCCTTCTTTCCTCACACCTGGCCATGCTCAGGGCTGACTCCTGGCTCTGTGCTCAGGACTCACTCCTGATTCTGTGCTCAGGGATCACTCCTGGCGGGTCTCAGGGTCACTCCTAGCTCTATGCTCAGGGATGACTCCTGGTTCTGTGCTTGGGGCTGACTCCTGGCTCTGTGCTCAGGGCTCACTCCTGGTGGGTCTCAGGATTATTCCCGGCTATGTGCTTAGAGCTCACTCCTGCCTCCTGGCAGGTCTCAGGGGACTCTCTGTGGTTTGGGGTCAGAATGTAGGTTCCCCTTAGTTCTGTTTCCATGGCACTGGGACTCCCTGCTGGTCCATGGGGACCTCCTGCTGGCTAATGGAGTGTGGGTGCCTGAGTGGGCCTGAGCGGGCGTGGGAGGTGCAGCGGGAGGAGAGCGAAGCCTGTTGGCGAGGCCGGAGTGTGTGAGTGGCCCTTTGCAGCAAGACCCTCTGCTTCTGCTTCACGCACCAACACTAAGTCCTGGGAGCCTCCCCTGCCACATTCCAGCCCCTCGCCATGCCTTTGTCGGTGTCCCTGGGGCCGTGACTTCAGGCAGTAAGAGGCCGGGGCTGCGGCCCCACCTCACGGAAGCCTTATTTTCCTGAAATGCTCATTTTCGCCCACCCGCAGGCCCGGGGATCCCAGTGTGTGTCATCTGCCCGACTTCCCAGCCGGAGCATCCCATCGCTCTAAGAAGGTAGAGGCTTGTCCTCCCCGTACTCTGCCTGGCGTGCCACAGGGCTCAGAAACTTCTGGACTTTTTGCCAGACCTGGTGAGACAGGTCTTTTCACACTTATCTCGGGTGGGGGGGAGGGGGACACTGGCTGGGGGCTCAGCAGAGACTCTGTGGTCTCACCTGCAGGATGCAGCTCATGACGCCAGAAGTGATGTTGACATGGGGTGTGTCCTGGTCCCTCCCCGCTCGGCTGGGCAGAGCTCATGCTCCAGGCAGGAGGCCCAGAACCCTAGCAGCGTCTGCACATGTGTCTCAATGCCGCAGAGGGCTGCGGGGACCCTCGTCACGCAGATCTCCACCATGGCCTGCTCGCTGGCGTTGGTCTGGTAGTCCTGCGGTGAGAGAAGCTTCGTGGGGACGGACACTCTGTACAGCTGGGCCCATCGGTGCTGCCCTGGCAGAGGGGCAGCCCAGAGCCCAGGATGAGGGTTCGAGTCAGGCGCTTGCTTGAGGTGGCCCTCTGCATGGCTGAGCCCACCCTCTTGGTTCTGTCTGCACTGTTCCCTGCCCTTCACACACGGACCCATTGCTCTCCCCCATGGCCGCTCTCCTCACAGCACCGTGTCCACCCTCTCCTCAGGCACCGAACCACAATTTTTTCCCCAGATGACCACTTCCGGCTGAATCATCAGTGCTGAGAGAGAACACGGCCACCCCAAACATCTAGGGGACAGCAGGGACAGTGCCCCGGAGAAAACGCTTGCCTGGGGGGATCCCTGAGCACCAGCAGGGGATACTTCTGAGCACAGGAACACCTGGCAGCTGGAGGAGGGGAGTGTGGGGGCACGAGGGGGTTCTGCCGCGGGACCCTCCGCTTTGCTCTGCTCAGATTGATGGATGTGATGATCGTGCAGGGTTCGAGAGCATCTGAGACAAAGGGCAGGGGCATTTAAGATGGCTGAGGCACACTGCCAAACTGTTTTCTAGGAAATTCTTACTGACACACGCAACCCTCCCATCCCCCACCCCCCACTCTCAGCTGGGCGAAAATGGTGCTCTGCCCATTGGACTTAGTTTACATAATAAATGCAAATTAACTAAGATTAAAGTGGTGTTTACACACTTGGGGAAGTCCGAAGAACAGAGTGAAAGGAAGAGGAAATCGGAAGCTGGAGCCCAGAGGAAAGGGGTGAAGCACAGGCATCAGACTGAGACGGGCAGCTCGGGCAGCAGTGTCGGAATCTCTGTCCTCAGCAGTGTGTGTGAGATGAGAGCCTGCAGGCATAAGTCAGTCTGCACAAGATTACGGGGGGAGGACAGCCCCGAGTTAGAGGGGGCATCCAGAAACATCTCTTGGTACCCCCTAAGGAAACAAATGCACAGAGGCCAGGGGAACCGCAGGATGTGCCAGCAGGTTCGCCCGCGCGCTGTCCAGTGACCATTCAGGCCTCCCGTGGGAGCACAGAGACTCTGCAGAGGCAGCAGTTTCTGGAGCCGGACTTGGGGCTTGAGCCTGGACCCTACTGTCTACGAGCCATGCAGTAACCAAACTCTGCCTCCGTTTCCTCGCTCCAAAGTAGGAAGAACATTAGTCCACGTGGCTCAGGGTTAACTTCGAAAGGGAAAGAGACATCAGCAGTGCAGAGTGGCTCCCTGGACACAGCAGGCCTCGGGTCATTTGTATCGAGGGGAAGGAGGAAAGGGGATTTAAATCACACCTGGTGGTGCTTGAGGAACCCCTGGCTATGTGCTCAGGACTGACTCCTGGCTCTGTGCTCGGGGTCACTCCTGGCTCTGTGCTCAGGGTTGACTCCTGGCTCTGTGCTCAGGGTCACTCCTGGCTCTGTGCTCAGGGCTCACCCCCGGCTCTGTGCTCAGGGTCACTGCTGGGTCTGTGCTCAGGGCTGACTCCTGGCTCTATGCTCAGGGCTGACTCCTGGCTCTGTGCTCAGGGTCACTCCTGGCTCTGTGCTCAGGGCTGACTCCTGGCTCTGTGCTCAGGGCTGACTCCTGGCTCTGGGCTCAGGGTCACTCCTGGCTCTGTGCTCAGGGCTGACTCCTGGCTCTGTGCTCAGGGATCACTCCTGGCTCTGTGCTCAGGGATCATTCCTGGTGGGAATCAGGAGACCCTATGTAGTGCTGGGGACTGAACTCGGGTTAGCTGAATGCAAGGCACACGCCTCAGCCCTTACACTGTCTCTTGTCCCATAGAAGTCTTAGCTATGGTGACTTCGCTAGATCAGCTTCACCTCAGGGCAAATCACAGGCACCCCCAAACAGTCAACTCTGGGCACCCTCTCACTCAACCGCAACAAGAACACAGACACTGGGAGGAAACAGAAACCTGAATTTCTCAACCACTACTGAATCGAGGGTGAGTCAAGAAAGAATGCTAAGTTCAAGATGTAAATACTCATCAGAAACTTGTGATAAAGCAAAGTGGTACTTAGCAAGGAAATACCGGTCTTCAAGACTCATATTAGGAAGTAAGAAAGTTTTTTTTTTAAAAAGCTTATCAAATAATAGAAGGGATTAGAAATAGAAGAGCCAACAACAGCCAGAGAAAGAAGAGGAAAATCAGAAAACAAAATAACGAATGAGAATAAAAAGATATCATTTGGATAGTAAACATAAAACCAAACTTTACTTCTGGTGATGTGGATGGAACCTGGTTCTCACACTTTGTAAGACAAGTGCTCTACCCCTAAGCTACATCCCCTGGCCCTAAAACTATTTTTTTGTTTTTGCTTTTCGGGTCACACCTGGTGATGTACAGGGGTTACTCCTGGCTCTGCACTCAGGAATTACTCCTGGCGGTGCTGGGGGGGACCATATGGGATGCTGGGAATCGAACCCAGGTTGGCTGCGTGTAAGGCAAACGCCCTATCCACTGTGCTATCACTCCAGTCCCCTAAAACTATTTTTTAAGACAAGGAAAATATAGATGAAGTATCAGTGCAAAAAAGAAGAGCATTTAAGTACATAAGCAGTAGAAAATAATAGATGAAAAACATAATTTTATACCAATGAATTTAAAAACTCAATACCAATGAATGTACATTTTCTCAGAAAGTGTATTTTACCAAAAGTGACTGAATCAAATTCCCCCAATTTTCTTCAGTCTTTTTTGCACTGAAAGCTCATGGTTCCAAGAGAGGTTCAGAGCCCCCGAAGGAACCAGAGACTAGATCCCCGTCATCACAGGAAGCTCTATCCTTCTGGAAATGTCTAGATGCTTCCCGACTCACTTCCTGAGACCAGGTGGTTTCCAACTACCTGAGCCAGGCCGGCCTGGGGGGAAGGAGAGTGAGCACTCCCAGACCCCCACCCCTGAGAACATCTCAGAGAAGCCCCTGGGGGGAGGACCACAGCATCTCCCATGCCGAACACCCCTGGGAAGTCCCTTCTGGGAGCACATGAGTGCCGTGTGTCACCTGGTCCTAGGACAACCTTTACGCCCTCCAAACCTGTCAGCTTCAGTTCACCACCTGACAGAAGCAGAGCGAAGACTCTCCAGTGTCAAAGGACAGGAGAGGCAGCCGGGGGTGGGGTGGGGGGGTGAGGGGGAAGTGCAGAGAAACGTGATCAGGGAGCCTGGAGGAAGAATCGGCTTCCCACGCAGGCCTCACCTCCATGGGGGCGGGGAAGGGCACACAGACGAACCATCACCCCCGTGATGTACTGCGGGCCCACACCCAACCGTGCTCAGGACTGACTCCTGAGCACTGTGCTCAGGGGTCATTCCTGGCAGAACTCAGAACTAATGAGAGTTGAGTGGGCTCACTGGATTAAAGATTCTTAAACAAATGCCAGTTCTGTTATTTAACCTGAAAAAATAGTTGGGAAATGCAGCTTTTAAAAGGGGCACCAGGGCTGAGAGAGGACAGATAAGGCGCCAGCCCTGCCTTAGCCGTCTCCAGCATCACCAGGAGGATCCCAGGGAGCTGGAAGGAAAGAAAGCCCTGGGCACCACTGGGGGTCACCAAACAGCCCCCATCCCCAAAAAAAGAAAAAGTGCCATTTATAATTTGAATGAGAAATCGGGCCAGGGAGAGAGCCTGGTGGTTAAGCATGTCTTAACATGTGCTTAGCATGTGTGGCCCTGCCCTTGGTCCTTGGAGTGCGTGGTTGGCTCTTAGCACTGCCAGGTATGGGCCTCTACAAATACACAAATATTTAGAAATACAAACAGCTATCTTCAAGATTCTTAAGTTCCTTAGGAAAAGAAATCACAAAACCTTACTGAAATGTATTTCAGAAGACAGTGCCATAAAGATGGTCATTTTATTTATTTATTCTTTTGTGGGGGTTCCAAGCTCTCGGGGCAAACCTAGTGTGCTATGGGGGGCTTGTGGCGTCAGGGTCAGAGCAGATTCCCCACGATACTCCGTGCACTGTGAGCGTGCAGAGAGCAGAGCAGGGACTGCCATGGAGCGGGAGGGACTCAGAGCAGCGAGAGGGATGGGAACAGTTGGGACAGAAGGACCAGCTCGCCCTCAGCCAATGCGCTCTCAGGGGCTCGGTGGCCTCACAGGAAAGCGACTATGCAAAGGGGAGAGTCTCCCGGGCTTTCCTGGGCTGGCGAAGGTGCCCGTGGAGTCTGGGCTCCATGGACTTTAGGGCCCGGCTGCCGTGAAAGGCCGTGCTCAGGACAAAGCGTTGGAATGCCGGTAACAGTGCGACAGAGCTGCCTGACGGACATGGCATCCAGGCGGGGACACAGGTGAGAGGGCCGTGTGACTCTGGGGCTCCTGCACCCACACCTGCTCCGGCACCACCTTGTCCTGCACCCATACCCGCCTCCTGCATTCAACATAACCCTGCACCCAACCTCAGCCTGCGCACACATCTGTTTCTATACCTTCACCTGCTCCTACACCCACGTCTGCTCCTGTACCTCACACCACAAAAGTGGGCTATTGAGAGGGTCTCCGCCTGTCTGTCCTGGGGTGCTGTGGGATTGATGTCGGTGGGCCCCACGGGTGACTTATGTGAAGCGGGGAGGAGAAAGACGGTCACTTTCTCCCCACCCGCCTCTGCCACCCGGGACCCAGGGTTACTGGGTTCTTGTCTTGCCTCGCAAAAAGGAATTTCAGGAGTAGACAAGCAGTGAAGTAAATAGATTTTATTTGGAGGATTTTTAGGTGCGGAGGGGGAGAGAGAAAGAGAGAGAGAGAGAGAGAGAGAGAGAGAGAGAGAGAGAGAGAGACAGACAGACAGACAGACAGACAGACATTAGACACGAAAGCATGAAAGTACACATCTCAAGAGGGGAGATGCGGGCGACACATGTGCTCGGGCACCACATGTGCTCGGCCACGTGGGCGCAAGCAGCACATGGGCTCAGGCAGCATATGCACGCCCTTCCTTTGTTCCAGGTGGCCTTTATAGGGTTTCTCCAACCTGCCCCCACGTGGGGCTTCTTCCCAAGTAAAAGTTCGTTGCTAAGGAGGTTACTAGGGAGGTCCAAAAAGAGGAATTTCATGGGGAGGCCTATATCCTCAGGGTCTTCTGCGGATGGCCTTATCAGGCCTTTGTTTTCTGTATCCACAAGGTGGGTCATTCCTAGAATTCTTCTTCCATGAAACTTTGTTTCATTGCAAAGGGCCTTTCCCTATCTACCTGCCTACATGATGTCAGTATATTCAACCCTGTTCCATTGGTCTACAGGTCTGTCTTTGTTCCAGTACCATGCTGTTTTAATTATTACTGCTCTGTAGTAGAGTTTGAAGTTAGGGAGGTTGATTCCTCCCATTTTCTTTTTCCCAAGAATTGCTTTAGCTATTCGTGGGGGCTTATTGTCCCATATAAATTTCAGGAGTGTTTTCTCCATTTCTTTGAAGAATGTCATGGGTATCCTTATAGGGATTGCATTGAATTTGTACAGTGCTTTGGGAAGTATTGCCATTTTGACAGTGTTAATTCTCCTGATCCATGAACAGGGGATATTTTTCCATTTCCTCATGTCCTCTTTTATTTCCTGAAGTAGCGTTTTGTAGTTTTCTTTGTACAGGTCCTTTACTTTCTTAGTTAAGCTGATTCCTAGGTACTTGATTTTCTGGGGCACAATTGTGAATGGGATTGTTTTCTTCATGTCACTTTCTTCTTTTTCACTATTTGCGTATAGGAAAGCCATGGACTTTTGGGTATTGATTTTATAGCCTGCAACTTTACTATACAAGTCTATTGTTTCTAGGAGTTTCTTGGTAGAGGTTTAAAGGTTCTCTAAGTATAGTATCATATCATCTGCAAATAGTGAGAGCTTGATTTCTTCCTTTCCTACCTGGATGCCCTTAATATCTTTTTCTTGCCTAATTGCTATTGCAAGTACTTCCAGTACTATATTGAACAGTAGTGGAGAGAGTGGGAATCCTTGTCTCATCCCTGATCTTAGAGGGAAGGATCTCAGTTTTTCCCCATTGAGGATGATGCTTGCTGTAGGCTTGTGGTAGATGGCTTTAACTATATTGAGGAAAGTCCCCTCTATCCCCATTTTGGCGAGGGTTTTCATCATAAACGGGTGCTGGATCTTGTCAAATGCTTTCTCTGCATCTATTGATATGATCATATGATTTTATCTTTTCTTTTGTTGATATGATGGATTATGTTGTTGATTTCTGAATGTTAAACCATCCTTGCAAGCCCGGGATGAATCCCACTTGGTCATGGTGTATGATCTTTTTGTTGAGTTGTTGAATTCTATTTGCTACTATTTTGTTGAGAATCTTCACATCCTGTAGTTTTCTTTTCTTGTGATGCCTTTGTTTCCTTTTGGTATTAGAGAGATATGGGCTTCATAGAAACTGTTTGGGAGAGCTTCTGTTTTTTCAGTTTCCTGGGATCTGTGTTTCCTCGGCTGTCGCCATGAGCGGTGTTTGCCACTGAACCAGCAAGGGAGCTCATGATTCAGCTCATTCCTTCTCATGAGCTGCACCATGAGGCTTTCTCCCCGCTGATACGCAAAGTTTTGATTTTGCTTTTGGGGTCACGCCGGTGGTGCCCGGGGATTACTCCTGGTTCAGTGCTCAGGACTCAGTTCTGGTGGTGCTTAGGGTGGGGATTGAAGCTGGGTCAGCCTCATGCATGGCCAGTGCCCCACATGCTGGTTATCTCATAGGCCCTCAACCTGCATAAAGTCCTGGGGTAGTCAGGAGCTTCTGGAGCGCACAGAGGCGAGAGAGCACAGGCAGACAGCAAGGAAGCTGGCCAGGGCCATGGAACGAGCCCGGGAGAGAGAAGCCAGCAGGGACCCTGGTGTGAGCCCCCCCCACCTCCCACACACCCCAGAGGAGACAGGCACTGGGCGGGGCTGACAGACTGAGGGGAAATGTGCCTGGCTCTGACTGACCCCAGAAGCTGTGCACAGGCTGACCCAAGTCTACAACCCTCACAGATCCTGAGTGACAGCACTCTCTCGCACCTGTGTGGTGGGCTTCTGGCAGACAGGGGCCCCTGCCTTGTAAACTCTACTACAAAGCAGTAATGATTAAAACAGCATGGTACTGGAACAAAGGTAGAGCTGTAGACCAATGGAATAGGGTTTAATATACTGACATCTCCCACCAAACATATGATCATCTAATATTTGATAAGGGGGCAAGAAAAGTGAAGTGGAGCAAGGAAAGCCTCTTTAACAAATTGTGCTGGCAAAACTGGATGGCTACATGCAAAAAAAGTGGGCTCAGATCTCTGCCTAATGCCATGTACAAAAGTAAGATCAAAGTGGATTAAAGACCTCAACATCAGACCGGAACCCATAAGGTACATTGAAGAAAAAGTTGGCAAAACCTTCCATGACATTGAAGCTAATGGTGTCTTCAAAGATGTCATGCCACTGGCCAAGCAAGTGAAAATAGAGATAGACAAATGGGACTATCTTAAACTAAGAAGCTTCTGCACCTCCAAAGAAATAGTGACCAAAATACAAAGACAGTCTACAGAATGGGAAAGGATATTCAGAGTTAATTTTCTGAGGTAGGGAATTCGTTTTAGTTTTCATTTAAGATGGAAAAGCTTTTGAACCTGTTTTTGAAATCATGTGCGAGCTGCCCACCCATCTGGGCTGTGGTCATGCTCTCTGCTTGGGGACGTTCGGGTCTTCAGACTCAAGTCCGTTCATGTGTGCTGGATCAAGCGTGTTGTGAACCACCTCCATGTTTTAATGCCTCTAGACATGTCTTTCCATCCCTTTCCCTCTCTCTTGGGAAAGTCATTCCAATCCTTCACCTTTCCCTGGCCAGGTACCACTCAGGCTCTGTTAATCCTATTTCAGTGGTTTGTGCTCTTGTTCCTTACCATGTCTGGGTCGTGATGAAGCAGCGGGAGAGTGTTCGGGAAGGACTGGCATCTTTCCAAGAATGACTTATTTAATTCCTTAACAGGGTAAAATTTCTAGCTGTTCACGCCTGATTTCATGGTCTTCAATAAATAATTACTTTTGTTTTCTTCAAGAAGTTCCTTGGGCCACAGCCCTTCCGGGTTCCCCCGGACTTTCTGCAGAGCCCTTTTTTCCAGGAGTGACTGTGTCCCAGAAGTGCGCGGCTGCGGACATCTTATTATCTCATTCTTACTTTGGACAAATTGGCAGGCTACCGAATGTAACCTGCTCACATGGCAGAGTCTGGCAAACTCCCTG